ACCCTCGCCAGGATAAGCCGATTTCTGATAATGGCCGGATGGATTAGAAAAGTGCTTAGTAACTCTTTCTAAGTTAATTTTGCCCTCAAGTTTCTTTACTTCTTTGTTATGCTGAGGCCTCTGAGGTTTCAGGTTGGTGGTGAACCACAAGCCAAGCTCCAAGCTCCAAGCGCAGGTTCATAAAAGAGCCTTGGACATCTTCAGCAAGGCCAGTGGGAGCGCGGCTTAAAGGAGAAGTGAATAATGCAGGCTGACTGAAAATGGAGCTGTCCCAATTATTACAGAGCAGAAAAAAGGCTGCCTTGATGCAGCAGTCAGGCTGGCTTTATTGAAACTGCCTGAATTTCTGAGGAGAAAAAAGGCTGCCGTGATGCAGCAGAGAGGCTGGCTGCATTAAAGCTGTCTGAATTAAAGCGAAGGCGCCCCGCAGAATGAGACTGTCTAGAAACAGCAGTGGAGAGGCCAGTGGAGCCGTAACTTCAGAGGACACGGTGAAAAAGAAAAAAGGTTGAAGACATGCAAGCTTAGAAAAAAGCAGCAAGGGCAGAATAACCCCAGCTATGTCAGGACTTGGGACACAAAAGAAAAAAAAGATGTTTGTCAGGCTATCATCTCAGTACCGCAAAGCTCAGCACGTAGTCTGAGCACGGCAATGCTGCAACCTCAGAGACCAAATAAGTGGAAAAAGAGCCTGAAAAATCTGCTCAATTCCCCGTCTGAGATTGGGAGATTCTGCCCAGTTGAAATACTGGTGGCCTTTGAGAGATGTGTCCTGAGTGAGTTCACACGGGTTCAGAAAAGAGGCTGAGAACCCATGCAAATGACCTGGTTGCCCTAAGCAATATCGAGAAGCGAGCTTCTCCCAGCCCAGGCATATTTGGAAATTAAATATTTGAAATTAATATTCTCAAATTCTTGCCGGAGGGCTTAAACATGAATTCTGGTACACAGTAAACTGTCTTTTTTCCATAGTTCTATTTGTCCAGAGATGTATTTTTGTCTCCCCTTCTCCAAAGAGATGAACAATCTTATATTTTCTTTCAACTGTTTTGCATTTTGCTTGTTTGTGGGCTTTATTGATGCACAAAAAGGGTTAAGACATTCCAGTAACTAACAATGACCTTTGAGAAGGTGGAAAATGGATTAAAAACTGCAGTACTTTCAGCTAAATCTGTTCTGATGTTACATAAATGAGAGTGTTAATGTCTCTGTAAACAATTGTCTAGGAAATCCTAATAATACTCTTTTGTTTATGTCACATGATAGTAATTATGCCTTTTAGCTCTTGTCATGCCCCGACTTAAATCTCATTCAGTACAGCTGTCGGGAACAGAGCTTAGTGCTTTCATCTTTTTTCCCCTGGCTGCCAAACTCCAGCACTCCAACCTACGTGGACGAGATCGAGATGAACCGGCCACAAAAACAACACAAAGAAGTCTGTCCTCCCAAACGTCCAGCTTGCCTAAACTTCAGAACGGGAAGGCCATGTTTTTAAAAGGTGGTGAACAGTGTCAGTTATTATTCCTCAATTACATTATCTTTGCTGAGCAGAAATTTGGAGTTACAAGTTGTTTCTTCAAGCTACGCATTCCTGGGGCCCTGCAGTCTTTCAGCACACTGCAAGACCCTCAGGGTGACTGGAGGAGCAGTGGTGACCATCAAGTCACAAAAGTGACTGTTCCAAAGAGAGCCAAGAGGATGCTGGGAGACTAATCTATACATATATTGTGTCACACAACTACTTGTGAACGTTGCTTGGGGAATCTCAGGCTGAACTGCGTTCAACTCACCTTTACTACTCAAGATTGAACTACATTTTATTACTATTAAAAAAAAAATCTTTCTTTTCTTGTTTGTGCTGTGCTCGGTTATTTTTGGTGCTAGTAAAAATTCTATGAATTCTCTCTCTTTAAATACCACGGTGTGTACAAATTGTTTTTGAAACATTTAACTCACAAGAGTGTGAAGTGCCTTACACAAAAAACTCCAAGCACCTAGATTATAGCTTTACAAGTAAATGCACACAAAAAAAGACTAGATCAATCAATTCCTGGTTTTATCTTCTGGCATCACATTAATGCTTGAATTACAGGGAAAGAAAATTTGAAAATAAATCTGAGTTCTAGATAAAATGGTCTGGCCATTAGAAAAATGTATTTATTTCATTATACACTGCTGCCTGAGACCTATCTATTTTTTATCTGTCAACAAGTCATGAATGCACCATAAAATCTGTTTTTATTTCCCCGATAATATGTATGAAGTAAGGCTGCAGAACTTTTATTTCTGATGACATCATCTTCATCTTTAATTAATCTAGATATTTCAGAATATACAATTTCCTCTTAAACTTTACACACAGAGAGAAGTCAGTTTTGAAAGAGGTGCTCAAGAATTCTTGAACCAGTGGGCTGTGATTACGGTCCACAGGTCCGCTGTGCCGGTTGAGCTTCCTCTCAAATGCTGGCAGCGACACATTTGGTGCTTGATTTGTAGGAGCAGGGAAGGACTGTAGAATAGAGCTCAATATATTTGTCACTGGCCTTGGTGCAATAGCTTGACGTAGCACTTATTGAAGCTATTTTAAAACACACTCTAATGATGCTGGGTATTTCATAAGCTCTGATTCTTTGTTTGAGGGTGGCAAGGCTTAGGTTGCAGTCACAGAGGAGGCTGAAGATGAACATTAAAAGGGATCTCACTCAGGAATACCAGCAGATATACCCTAACCAAGCCAACTGCTACACACAGACCGAAGTGATGCGCAGGCAACACATGCCTAACATTGCAGTGCTACTAGGGCACTTAGTCCCCAGAAGCTATCATGATGCTTGACGAATTAAATGCATTAACTACTGGCATCTGTTAATGCTTTATGTACTGATATGCTAGTTACAGAATCATTTAGAAAACTATGTCTCTTATATAGCTATAAGGTATAGAAATTAATATTATTTCATCTTATATTTATATAAAATGCATGATTATATTAATCGAATGTCTTATATAAAGGGATTACGGTTTTCAATTTTAACTGAAAAACAGCGTACATACTACAATGATGTGACTATGTAAAGAATAATGTAACAAAAAAGAGCATTTATTGATATGTCAGGCTTTAGCCTAGAGTTAGCTTAAAGTGTGTGTAAAATGTTTTGCAAAAAGAGTCTCTGAGAATTGCTAAGCAGGTTAAACAAGTAGAATGGAAAGTTCTGCAATCTGCACAGATGGCTTATGTGTCCGTGGTGTAAACTAGAACTTTTAATCACTCAGTCAAAAGCTTTAGTTATGTTGTGCAGGCTAATAAGTCTTTTACATGCTGTGGATGAACAGGAACACGTGAACAATTGTAACAATAAATTAAATTTGCACATAAAATATTGAAACAAATACTTGTCACACAAAAAGAATAGCATTATTCATGTAAAACATTTAAAGTATCAAGATTTTAACAAAAATAAATAAAGTGGCCAATAAAGTTTTAAGACAAGACATATTCAAAACTGCAAAAGATCTTTTTATTTACAAAATTCTTTGAAAGTTTTAAAATGTTTACATGTAAAGTTGAGTTCAATCTTCTTGTTGGGGTGTTCTCCTCAGTGTTTAGCCAGAGATACTGTAGGTTATGGTTTATCATGAGCACTTTTTCACTGTTTGCGAAAGAATTGTGTTGTCTTGCTGTGTCTTGTACCATGTCCTTATCGAGTGTGGGGTATTGAATACTCAGAGCCCTGTATCTAAATACAAAACTCTCAGCATGGAAGCACTTGTTACTTTTATTCTTTCATTACTGAAAAACGCTTGGCCTGTGCGTGTTGGATTTCGGGTCAAGAAATTAACTTTTACTTATTCCACTGCATTTAGATCACAAGAATAGCATACGCCCTGTGGATCTGAAAAATACTGTGAAAGAAAAATGCTTAGTCACAGAAAGACCTCAGAAGAGTGGTATGCATACCACTTGTATGCAATATGCAAGATACTGTGTGCACATACTGTCGAATTGCAATGAGCAATGTCCCGGGTGAATCATCTGTTGCAGTTCAAGGCTTACCAGCAGTCTAAACCTTGAACATGATCAGTTTATAGTTCATATACTTTGTACTTTTGACTGCACAGGGATATTTGGATGAAGTACATTGAAAATATTGAATGGCAATATTATTCTTGAAATATCTTTGATGTGCTATTTAGGAAAAAAAATGTATGACTGGTGTAAACAGAAATATCATTTGAAAAGATCTTTTATAAAAAATATTCTGCTTGTTATCATATTTTCTTTGCACGTTGTTGGTTTAGAATACACAAAACCGACTCTTACAGTATATTAACAGCAGAAGTACTGAAAATACCCCTTTTAATGTTTCTGCAAATCCTATTGAAAAGCTTTCGCTGATTAATCTTAGAGAAATGCCAGGGGCAAAAGTATTCTAGAAGGAAAAAGAAATTAATTCATGTGTAAACTGACATACTGTACAAGCCAATATATTATACTTCACTTAAAAACAATCAACAATCAATCAATCCCTTTTGTGCAACAGCTCCCTTCACAATACTTTGCCACGGAGAACTTCTTATTCCACACAGAACTTATAATTTATTCAGTGGCAGTCGGGCAATAGCTGTAAAGGTACTGGGTATCCCAGGTACAACGTAGCCAATAATTGAACTACAGCTGTATTTAGACACATTTTCTTTGCAACTAACATCCACATCAACCTCCCTGGAGTACTGCCTTTTGCTTGTATAGTTTGCAATTTTGTTTGTAAAACCAAACTTTATGGACACAGAGTTTCTAAATCTTGATTGCATGATCAATTGTTATTTGCTACTTAGTACTCATGATGGGCTGCAGTATTCTAGGCTGAAGGCAAAATGTATTTTTACTCTTTTTTCCATGTCAACATGGACTTATTTGCACTTGCAGATGAAGACTGATAAACGAGACAACTGAACACAGACCTTGGCAATCAAGCAGGTTAGCTTGCAGAATGACTTACCTGTTGATCCTAGGAAGTATCGTTCTAAGACTGATCCATAACCTGTGGGGTTGTCTCTCAGGTTACTCACAATGAATGGTTGCAATGAAACATTCACATTGTTAATTGGCCAGTTCTGTGCATGAACACTTGCTCCACCATACCAGGAAATATTTGCCATGGAAAAGCAGTCCTGAAACAGAGTGATACAGAATCAATAGAGCACATGTTCTGTAATTTATTGGCAAACTGATGCCAAGACATCTCATGCTTGACGCATGCAATTACAATAACTAGGCTGCAGTAAAATAGTAGATATCCTTAATGATGTGTCGCTAAGGTTAACGATTATATGGGGTTACATTAAATTTTGATTATTGAAAGAATAACTGTACTATGAACTTAGTGAAATGAAACAAAATATTTTACATAACATTTGTATTATTTGCAGTTAAATCAATGAATTAACCTGATCACAGCGAGATTATGTCATAATGATGGTACTATGTATATATGTACAGTAACATATTTCCTCTTCTTTCAGTGCTCACTCCACAGTGTGATTTAAAAATGAACTTTACAAAGAGCAAGCAGAGATGGCTCACGATAGTTTCCTCTCATGTTTTAGTAAGAGACGATAGCAAGTGGCACCAAAGGCATTTATATAGGTGAGAAAAAAGTCTCTAAACCCGTTCACACAAGACAAAGAACATTGACTGGGGAAATAAATCCTTCCATGTAGCTCAAAATGGAATCAACAGCTTGTTTCTGAATTTAACACAACAATGGGAAATTACCATCATTAAACTAATAAAAGCCTGATCAATCATCGCGATATAGAGACCTTAGAGGACCCATCTCCATAGACAGCATTTACAATTTTGCGTAAACATCACTTTATAACATCAGGATATTTACAAAATCAAGTTTGCAGGGATCAAAAACAGAAGCTTTAAAACGTTCCTCTGACAGCCAGTTCACAAACACTAATTTGAGCTGAGAAACCCAGGGAAGATCAAGCATCAAGATTGAAAACACCAGAAAGAAAATAGCACATAACTGCATCAATCCACAGAAGACTAGTGAATGACACTTTTTCTTTTTAAAAACAATTATACCAGTTCACTTGCCTATTGAAAACAAAGCTATACAAGACAATACTGGGTGTAAGGTAAGCAGAATATTAATTCCAAGACAATATTTAAATTACATTAAGCAAAATGTACAGTATGACTATCATACAGCTGCCATTGACACAAATTCAATTTTCACATTACGTGAAAAATCTTTTGAATGTATGAAGCTGTTAGTTGAACTTTAGAGCTTGAATCTGAAAATATTGAGCCAATCTATTTGCCATTGTTACTACACTGAACTTTCAAGACCATCCAGCCTCGCCTACACCACGTTTTAGTTTAGAAAATAAAATTCAAAATAGGAGTCTGCAACTGGAGAAAAAAACACGCAATAAAATACTAAATCGACTAATAATATTCCAAAGTAAATGAGCTTTAGATCCAGAGCAGTCTGGAGAATAAACGGGGAGTGCGGGTGAAGGATTAAGTAAATAGGATAAGTACTTTCGATCATGATTTTGTCTCTCTTGGAAGGTGAATAATGCTGACGCTTTGTTTTGTTTAGAGACTATTATTTTAATAATTCAGCTGGGAAATTTCAAAATAGGCCTACAGTATATCATTATCATGAAGGTCAATTCGGGACGCAGAGTAACGTTGCACATTGTTTTCCCAAAAGCTTTTATTTTAAACCTCCGCACTTTGAATGTAGTAGATTAAAACAATGAAATAAATGTTTTGTGTTCTACATTTTCCTTTGTCGGTCTTCATATTAAAATGGAACAAGTGATTCAACCACTCGGTTCCATCTCGGACAGCAGAGGAACCACTGACCACATTTCCGAAGATGTAACCTAAGCAAGTAATCATAAACAGAAAAAATAACTTTTTCCTGTCTGATGTTTTTAAAGAGAAATGAATAAAACAAATACGTGCTATGTCACTCCTCTTCCTATCCAACAGAAACTCAAGGACAAGACTTTGCAAATCTACTTAACCACTAAGTAGCATTTACGTGTTGTAACACTGTAAAAACAAATAATTTTAAAAGGAATTCTCTATTTTCAAAATATTATTAGATCTTGGTCGTTTCTCCTCAAAATCTCGTAAAATACTCACACATGCTTGAGTTTACAGACAACTGTAAGATGCTTTTAACGTCCTGCTTCTAGTGCATCTTCTTTTCACTTTTGCGATTGTTATTTCACGTCGTAAAATCAGTCTTAGAATTTTGTTTTTATGGCAAGACAGTTATCCTGAACTGCTGCAATTTAAGAGGGACTTATTCACTGTGTTGTATTGTACCCCTGGAACTCACAAGGTAATTTGCTATTTCTCTTGGCTTTAAACATTCAAACTGCAAGTGTTCCCAGGCTGAAAATGTGTTAATGATCGTCAACACAAACGTCTGGTAAACATAAAAATATACAACACAGAAATATGTGTATATATACTCATGCATATATATGCGCGCACGCGGAAAATGTTTTTTATTCATTATATTTAATTTTCAAAATTGGGGAACTTTTATGAAGTAGGGCACATTTCGAAAATGTCTTTGTTCCAATACCCATGCATCTTGCATGCATTATATTTTCTTTTCCCACTTTAATTCCACCAAATTGTTCATTTAATTTATATATCCATCCTGGTAAACAGTATCCAAAAGAATAATCCCAACAAACAGTAAATTTGGGGTTTAAAACAGCACATGACAAACATTATTCGACACTACGCAACTGTGGGATTAATTAATAAAATCCTAATTCCTTGCAGTTTTTTTTCCTTCCAGACAATAGCTACTCCTTGTTTAATAATCAGGCAATTCAGATTTCTGCTAAAACTCTTAAATAATTAACGTCAGTGGGCTAGGTTATGTACTTTGTTTCTAGAAAATGATTTAACTTGTTACTTAATTGAGAGTTATAAGCATTGTTGTCGCCATAAAAGTATCAATCTTTTTATTAGTTTCATAAAAGGGAGCTGTCGTAAAATGCAACAATGATAACTGTTGTCTGTATAGGTATTTTTTAAACCAAAATTGCCTATGCGGAAAAAACACTTAAAAATAAAAAAAACTAATTAAAAAAAGCATATTTTACATATACGTAAATGACGAATGACGTGACAAGCACGGATCGATTTCGCGTATCACAAGTTACTGACTTAAAATCAACTGAACACTTCAATCATAAAATTATTAACAGCAGCAACAACAACGATCATGTGAATAAAGAATATGCACGGAAATCTAATAAAAATCGAAAACACAGAGATGATAACCGATGACTAATTTCTTTATTTTGAAGTGGCCGTAAACATTGAGGCAACAGTCACCGGTAACCTGCCTCTTTTTGACTGGACTAATGATATCTGCGCGATTGTGACTTTACCTTGAGTTCCACTTGGCAATTCAGAGGCGTCCAGTTTATGCTGTAGCATTCTGATGCTGCTGCGTAATCGGATTCGAAGGAGATCTTCAGATCTGCGATGGCATCCCACGTGTAACAGAACTCGGTCTTGTTCAGCCAGCACAGGTTTTTCACAAACGGCACATCGGAGTCCGGGAAGTTTCCGACGTCGATCTCCGCAAAGGTCTTATCCTCCGCGAGTGTCTGTATGATAAGAGAGTGGGTCCGTCTCTCCCAGATGAGTCCGCTGAAACCGCCCTTGAGAATCCAGTTCTTGTGTGGCTGATCCACCACTTGCCAATAAATGATCCCAATGGTCATTACGAAGAACACTGCGACACCGAGACAGGCAATAGCTCCCTTCCACGTTTCGTTCATTTCCTTCAGACCCGAGTCCCATGTTACTTCTGGGATGGGACTAGGATTCCTATTTCGAGTGTGAGGCATATTGTTTTGACATAAAAATGTAATGAAGAAAAAAATCTATGAGTTAAAAAATATAATTGGTTCATTTAGTATTAACAGCACAAAAAGTTAGTAGTATGCATCTGTTATGCATGCGCATTTATGCCAACAACTGAAACCCTGTCAAGTGAAAAAAGAAGCTACACCCCACCGCTGAAATTCCCAAGAAAAGGGTGACTTACCACATGCTGTTAAGTGTAAAGTTATGGTTTTTAATTGCATTGATCGTGGAGCAGTGAGCAGTCTAACCCGGGTTCGGACGCAATGCCTACAAATAGCTCCTCACTTCTTTGCTCGCCTGCACTTTTCCCCCCAGTGTCTGACGTAACTCCAGGCTGCTCTTCACAAGGGGAGCAGAGAACGCGCTTTGGACACGGCGCTTTGCAGATTTTAAGAAGCAGGTTAACGCACGCGGGCCAGTAAGTCGGGCGCGGAACGTGATTGAGAGCGAAGTCTTGGTCACCGCGGAACACCCGCCACCCCCAGCCCTTCGCGTGTCATTTCGATCTGCTTGAACTGGGATTTGCAACACATCTGCAGTCTGTGGTATTTTGTTTTTGTCCTCCACACTGAGACCGGCATGGAAATGCCGCAGTAATAATCGGAATCCCCTATTTCAAATTAAAACAAAAACATAGTGGGGAATGTAAGAGGGATGCCAATTGAAATGAATTCCGGTGAAAGTGGAATGTAGTTTCTGGCTTTTGTTGATATTTTCACGATTGATACCCTTTATCACCTTAAACGATTTGAAATTAATATCCGTGTTTGGAATAAGTAATATTCTTACTTCTGAGTCGATCGGAAAAGTCATTATTTGTGCTTACTTAGCTTCACCTACTGAGTAGCAGCACAACAGAGCGCATTTTGATGGTTATCGTGTTGCAGAAAGAGAAAAGTGACAAAGATCCTGATCACAAGGAGTACAATATGTAGTTAAAACTGGATAGTAATAAAACGTAGACATCCTAAAATCTTAAATTATATCAAAGAATTTCTCATCTTAAAAATTCTATGCAACATCAATGTAGTTGTACTACTGGCTGCATGAAAATTGTATTGGTCGAAAACTCCAGTTACCAGTATTGATCACGATTAAGTAAACACGTTTAGTCAATAATTAGAAACCCAATATTTTGTTAATATAATTAATAAACGAAATGCTAAAAGTATGATTGCCATACTTTTTTAGTTAGCGGTTGTTTTTTTCTGCCACCCTAATCCTACTCATCCGCTGTCTTTGTAGCCGCTGATGCTGACTATATCAGAATGTGAGGACAGTTGTCAATGTTAATAAATCTTTTTATTGGATGTATTAAACATATTACATGATTGGCGGTATTACTAGGTTTAACAGTAGTACTTTGTAGGTTAAACTATCTTAAACGTATCCATTAATACTCTTTCATTAATTCGTATTTTGAATGATTAGATGCGCATAGTCTAGGGATCAATGATTGCAAAAAAAAAACGACAGAAATGTCATGTTCAAAAATTAGTTTAATGCTTGCTTACATCCCATGGTAAGACAAGTTACAAATCATGACACGTTTTGTATGATTATCGCACTATCTCTGAATATGTACGGTAATAATTCATGACAAATTCACAAGAAAGTAGATACGCAGATATTAGGCATTTCTTGAGAGGAATTACCAACTAAACGTGAGCAGCATATACGGTAGATATGAGGAACAGTTACAGTTTCAGATTGTTGCGCATACAATAGTCGAAAAGATGCTGAAAAGCCGCAATTCTGGAACAAAGTAACAGTAAAGCACAGGGTATGATGTCGTCTTTAGTCAGGAGCTACACAACAAAAAATATTTTAAAAAGAGATTTACATCTGGCCAGACCCTTTTAAATCAAACCCGTTCAACCTTGACTGTCTCCTCCGCAAGGATCGTGCACAGTGGAAAATTGCATAAAGGCGATGGAAGTTTTCGTCGATGGATGTCAATTGCATAATTGTTGTTCATGGCTATTTCCACCAGACTCAGTTTTTAAGCTACTTATCTCATTTAACCTGCCAGCTACAGAACAGGAATTGAAACGTACCAGGGTGGGAATTACATTTACGTGCGACCTATACAGTATCAAGAGCTATTGTCTGGACACAGTGCTAAAACCAGACAGCTCCTTCGGCTTGCGCTAGCTAGCCCAATTAATGTCTTTCTTTGGGAGAGCTAGTCTATTTTTAGGAAAGCATTCTCACAGCTAGGTGAAGCCAAAATGCAGAAACGACACGGCAGTAAAACACGCTTGTTAGTGTTGTTTTCTCTCAGTCCTTGCAACACATTATGTTTCTTTGTATGAATTATTGTTTACTTTCGAGGTTATAGTTATTGTAATGTATACATATTATTAGGTCTTCATATTGTATTCTAAGGTACTTATTTTACAGTATATGTGCAATACTCAGAAAGCCCAAGCGAGATATCAATCTTTTTGATGTTTCAGCGAGCGATTTACCAGTATGCACCTCAGGACAGTTCTCCGATTTTCAGAAAAGGAAACATAAATTAGCAGTTCTTTAAATACTGCATTTACATCTAGAGGTACATTTACGACCCATGGTTTGGATCATGTGTTAGTGTTAGTTTACTCGACAGATTTACAGAGTGCACAATCAGTTTTGACCCACTAGGAGCTTCGTTTCAAGTTTTCCTTCCTCAGGTAATCAAGACTCAACAAACGTGGCCACGCAGTCTGGGACGGGGGAGTAGATGCGCTTAAGGGAGGTGCTCGAGTATTTCAAATAAGTAAACAGGTACCAGTCGCAAAGCACAAGTCGTACATTTGTCAATTTATTCAATAAATGCGACCAAACAGCGAATCAGTGAGTCATGTGGAGTATAACTGCCTAACGTGCTTCGGCTGGGTAAACTACACAACAGTACTGTTTGTTTGTGTTAAAGAAAAATATAACCCCGATTCAAACTCCTACATCAATTTTCTGATCTCGGATATTTAAATGACAAGATATGAAGTTACTTTGCATTTTGGTATTTTAAGTATATGTAACCACGCGAAACTGTGCCAAAACCAGATTGAACACTTACACTTGTAAAACGATTTTAGAAGTCTGATATCTGCGTCTCTGCTTCACCTGGTGCTCTTTCACCAACAAGTTGAACGAGTGTAACTTCAATTTAATTCCCTTCGGCAAAGCCGTAGACGTCAGAACTGCACAAATGGCTTCCATTTCGAATGCTGAAACTACCGCATTTTAATTACAATTTAAACAATATGGGGGTACAGTATATGTCAGCCAACTGACTCATTAACAACAATAATTATATTAGGTTATATAATGTTTTATCCAGTTGCAGTCCTAGTAAGACTAATACAGTGGTGTTATTGTTGGGTTTTGTTCATGAACAAGGTTATGCTTCTTTTTCTAGAATAATGAAATATCATGGGTGAGTACTGTATTTTGACATGTGAAATCCTACAGGCAACTTGTGCCATCTCTAACAGAATCCAGATAATATACATTGCTTTGCCAAAGTATTCATGCTCTCTGGGGCAGATTAACGAACAGGCTGGCATAGGCTGTAGCCAAGAGGCCCAGATTGATCAGGGGCTCCTGACTGGCCAGAATTATTATGATTATTTTATTATATCATTGTTATATAGTTAACAAAGGTATTAAGGATAGTAGATGAGGAGGTGAGAAAGAGACAAAGAATATCTTAACTTCTCTAGTTAGGGTTAGGGTAATGGGACAATTTCACTTCAGCAGGAACTGAGACCATTAAAACTCAGGAGAAAATGGACAAAGTAAAGTACAGACAAATGCTAGAGGAATTGAATATAAAGACTTAAAACTGGAGCAAACATTCACCTTTTAGCAGGACAATGATCTAAAACTCAAAGTCAGAACTACACTTGAGTGGCTTAAGAATGAGAAAGTCAATGTGTTTGAGTGTCCCAGTTCTATTGGATATCTGTGGAAAGTCTTGAAAAAAAACTGCTGTCCATTTGTAAGCAACTCAAGAGAGTTAGATCAAATCTACCAGAACAACATGCAAAAACTGTGATGGTAAAGACTTCCCTAAAAAGACTTGTGGCTGTAATTACTGTCAAAGGTACTTCCACCAAATATTGAAATTGTGAGTCTAAATACTTATGTAGTCAACACTTTTTTTTGTCTTTTCGTTTTTTAGTTGACATATACTATAACACATATTTTGGCCGTAGAAGTCTACAGTCCGAGCATTTAGCTTTTGAATAAAATATTAAGCGTAGAAAATAAGGAGGCATTATTTTGCAATTTCAGAGAATGGAATTTCACAGGATTTGAATAGTTTTGCAAGGCGCTGCATGGGACTAAACCTTTGTAGCATGTAGACGTAGTACTCTGGTATCAAACATTTTGGCAGTTGCGTTATTGAATGTTCTGTGTAAAAAGTGTATCCTAAATAGCTATTAGACAGACTAAGTGTTGTTTGATTCCCAGAGAGCATCAATCGTTCATGTTTTACAAGTCTCCTAGGTATCCTAAAATGACCCTAGCAGTGCCTATGGAGCACATGGGTGCAGTTTCTAATAGTACATGAAAGTGTCATGAATAACTGCTGAACAGCTCAAGGGTAGGAGAGCAGCTTGTGCTCTTGCTGCATCAGTGACTAGCAGGCCTCTGCGCTGGAAGGGCCTTTGCGTTCTTGTACTTCTTGAGGCCCTCAGGGAGATGATGACCACCTGCCTCTAAACCCACCCAGGAAACAGCTGGTAGCCTTACGCTGCAGATACTTGCATGTGCCACGACATTCCCTTTGAGAGTCTGGAAATTCCCTAGCTCTCTGTTTCAAATTTCTTGCTTAGGACTTGTGAGGAACTACACTGAAGAACTTTACTATCAGTGTACATTTGTACATTTTTTACATTGTGGTACAATGTGGGTATATCTAATTAAGACTAAAAAACATGAATTTGGAAAGGGTAACAGCAGTTCTGTCTCTGAAGATGTCTGTTATTATAGATTCTAGATAAAGATTTTACAATTGTAGAGCACCATTTACCAAAGTGAAAGAATGTATTGTCAGTTGTGTATTTACTTACTGATTAAACTCAGAAGATGTTTTAAACAAATTGATAGTTTTTACTTTAAGAAGGATGATTGAGAGAAAGTTGTCCAAGAATGAAAAAAACAACCAAACCACTAAAACAGTGTAACTTTCATCGGCTGGACTTTCCCTGGATTTGCTTTGCGGTTTTAAGTCACCATGGGAACCATGTAGTAAATTCTGCATGCTACAAACAGTATTGATGAGTCCTTGTGTGTACTCTTATCTTAGAACCTTAAAAACTGAAAGGAAAAAGACAACAGTTGCTGCTCCTCTAAAAAAAACAAAAACACTGTTGTAAATCATAAAGAGTAGAATTGATCTATGTACCCAGTAGCTGTTAAAATGTCTGTAGGATCAGATCCCTGAGACC